AAGGAGAGCAGTTGTTTAATTGGAGGTGAAGACCGTACATGGGCTGGCAGCACACCAGCGTGTAAAGGGAAGGTTATTTGCAAGAACAATCAATATTTGAAATGCACAATTAAGTTTACATCAACGAGAGACACTAATAATCTCAGCTCAACAACTAATGCTTCATTCATAGGTTTCCCTTTAGCCTTACCACTTGCCATTTTATCTCTTGAACTCCCAAGCTGTTTTTTTATCCACAGTCCTATTTCCTGAGTTTTAAAAAAGACTGGAAAGCCCTGGAAAACACACAGCTTGACAACTGCCAGGGTCACTAATGAGAAACAGCTCACCAGAACTGCAGTCATTGTCTTTTGCTGTGTTACATCCAGTGATGAATGTTAAGAGTACAACTACATTAAACTGTTGTTCTGTGAGAGAGATCAGGGAATGGAGTCACCAACGGAGGATTTTCAACATCTTCACCAAATTTCAGTTCCTAATACTCCTTGAGCAAAGCCATGGCAGGAGTTGTGGAGGGACCCACTAAAAACAGTTTGCTCTTTAAAAAAAATCCTATGCAAACAATGACTCAGTTTCTGTATTCTTGGGGACCACTTTGTTCTTCCAGATAGTGATGTTCTAAAGCACACTCTGCCACACAAAATGGTGACCTCATGGACATTATACCAGGACACTGTATGGCAAATCCAAAGAGTATTAAATGTGGACTGGTTCTCTCTCATAATTTGGAACTCACTTCCCCTTCCCTCCGGCCTCCATTTTCACTGCAAATGAAACCATGGTAAACGTTTTGTGACATACTATTTACATTTCAGTAGTACCATAATGGACCAAATGAAACAGTTGCAGACTGTGGACCACAAGTTGCCATCTGTGGCCTAGACTAACCTGCCTGGTCACCAGAGGCAAGAATAGTTTCTGGGGCAACCACACCAGCTGTCCTGTCTCCTTTGCTCTCTGCTTGCCAACAAGAAAGAGAATGGCAGGAAAATAGGGAACAGCCTAGCAAGCCCCTCTCTGTTTCCCCAACCAGCAATTTGCCATTCCAGGGTTCTTTGATTTATTTATTTATTTGACAATGCTGAACTAGCAGGCTGTGAATGCTGCTTATGCTTTGCTAACCAACAGCTTCTCAAATTCATCAGCTGAAGCAGTCCAGCCCTGACTAAATATTTGTTTTGTATTCCAGCAATGGATGAACCCCCAAGACCTAGAGCTATCTACTCCACTCCTCCTGGTGATGGATTGGGAGGTTAAGTAGTTCCTGGACTGTCCCATCGTCTTACAGATTTATACAATATACACAGCTGAAAGCTATCATCAGCCAATCAAGTTGCTCTTTCCGTCTAGGCTTTTTCATTAATATGCAAAGAAAGAAACACCAGACCAGATGAGAGACCCTCAGTAGCAGATACAGGCAGATGAAAGGGAAGACGCTGACATACAAGCCTGACCTAGTGCCACTGAAGAAAATGGACCTAAATTGACTCAAATCTAAGTACCCAGGGCTCAAGAAGTTTGTCATTCAGGCAGCCAGATATTACTGAAAGGTCTCCTGGTACTGCAAATTTAATTCATGTATCACAACAGAAAAAGAAATTTTATTAGTTATTCTCAGAATCACAAATTCATGGCATGAGAACTACCATATACATTGACCCAGATGTGCCTCTATGTTGGCAGGGGAGCCCTGGATATACTTCAGCTTCCTAAGAAAGAACACTCCTTCCCAGCATAGAAGTTTATTCTGGAGTGCTGATCTGACTAGGGATGAGCCTCCAAAGCGACTGTGGGACTACTGTTAGGAGGAATTAACAACTAGCCACCAGTTCCTTCCATCCTTCTCAGCCTAGCATACACAACTCCGTCCTTGTAATGGTCAACCTCAATTGTGACAAATGAGCACCAGGCACACCAGCCAGGAGACTCCCAATGGCTGAAGCTAGATCACATGCATTAGGAACGGGGAACTTCTTCAGCACCATGGAAGAAGAGAAAAGTGTCAGTTACAAGAATTTTTATGCAAGTCGGTGGAATTTTTTTAAAGCCACTAGACAGGTCAGGCCACCATGTGAAATACCTTGTTATAAATGGGTTGATATAGAGATAATCATCACACATTTTCATATTTTATATTATTTACATGTAGGCTGTGAGTTATCTACTACTCTAGACTTTCATGGTCTGGCCACTTTGACACCTGTAACCTCCAGTCTGTATTACTATAATCCACTCTTCATGGGACTGCCCTTGAAGACAACTTGCATACGTCAACTAGTGAAACATGCAGCAGCTCATTTTCTCATGGGGATAACCATTAGGATCATATTATACTACTATACTACTAGCTCTGAGTCAAAATGTTACCCAGGTTTTTCAGGTTTATGATAAAACTATTAGTTACTTACTGGAATCCCTTGGAAGTCAATTGGTGCCTCAAAATTACTGTGACCCAAAAAATACAGTTGGATGCTTTGATAGCGAATGCTATAATAGTAAATACCAAATCCATTCTATTTACTACCTTTTTAGGGAGTATAACTGGACCCACCTTCCAGATGAGTATTTCAATTTAAAAAACCAGTTATGTCAAATAGTTAAGATAAAATATAAATCGCACACTGAGAAACAATGGGCTAACCTCCTTCAGGCTACATTGTCAAATGACTCCAGGAAATTCTGGGCGTTGGTGTCAGATAAACATAAAAAGAAGAGTGCCCAAATGAATGCCACCACCCCAGTTCACTGGTATGACTATTTTAAGTGGTTAAGACGCTGAACTGCAGGCTGTGGAAGGTCAGTAGTTCAGCAATTCGAGACCCGGGTGCCGCATGATGGAGTGAGCTCCCATCTCTAGTTCCAGCTCCTGCCAACCTAGCAGTTCGAAGGCAAGAAATTGCAAGTACCTTCAGTGGGAAGGTAACTGCGTTCCATGCACCTTGGTGTTTAGTCATGCCGGCCACATGACCACAGAAACATCTTCAGACAGCGCTGGCTCTTCGGCTTGGAAACGGAGATGAGCACTGCAACCCTAGAGTCAGATTTGACTGGCTTTCGAGCAAGGGAACCTTTACCTTTTAGTATGTTGCAGGATGGGAGTATGTAAATTACATATATTTTATTGCATGTTGTATTTCTCTGGAAGCCACTTAAACCATGTGTGAATGGCAGGATAAATTTGCTAATAAATAAATCTAACACACATAAATATTTAAATACTATTTTTCCTGCATGGTCAAAGTACTTAATGCATGTAATGTACATAATCTCATCCATTCTTATGACCCTGTAAAGAAAGGAAATATTGTTATCCTGAGGGCTGTTTCCCTGAGGTTGCCCTATGAGGTAAACCAACACTGAACCGGTACATCTCCCTCAGAGCCCCAGTTGCCCACTACAGTCTTAAGGAAGATCAATCTCAGACTTTAAAGCAGATGTTAATGTGATGTCACCTCTCCAGGAAAAACACACAGAGAGCTCCAAAAATTTGGGGAATTAAATGCCGAATGAATATAAGAGCTTTACAATTTCAACCACCATTGTTTCATTACCATGCCTCCCAAATTTTACTTGATAAGTTAATAACTAATTGACAATATTAAGTCAGAACACTCACTTTAATGGCAGCATTTCTTTTGGTCTCTCAATTAGGCTTACAAGAGTCACATCTGGTTCATTATTGTTTACTCACAGCAAGCAGAAATTATCTTGGGATTTGTGTTTTACATAAGCTTGCAAAAGAAAAGAAAAAGGAGGGGGAGGAGTGGATATCTAGCTCCCTCCCGAGTTTTTAATTTCTTGGTGTGGAGGGAGAGAGGACACACCTTCCCTCCATATCTCTTTGTTTCTCAAATATTTCTCCTAACCCTATCAGCACCACAAAAGTTGTATACTTGTTTCCCAGTTATGTTGCATTCTTGCCTAGGGCTGAAAGACCAAAACCACAAACTGTCCTCAGATGCATGATAAAACTCCATTCATTGCATTTGTGAAAAGTAGTTTTCTTGCAGCCACTGGAGCTTGCCAGCATAGATGCAAAGTGAATTAGGACATTAAAGGTTGTGCAGGTATGGCCTCACTTACAACTTTTGTTCTTGCAACACACTCTTCCTTAACAGAATTATTTGTTATGGAATGTCACACATGAAAAAGGTCATTAGTACTCATGAACATGAATTGGGGGTCAAGTGAGAGGTTAGAACTAATAGACATACTTTGTTCTTGCCTCCTTTTAACCCTTAAAACTAGAGCACCGTAAACCTACCTGCCCAACTGGGTTAATAGTTTGGCACTGACCTGACAATAAGATTACAATGTAGATACCCCTGATAGAGATAAAATGTCCACGCAGTTCTAATGTAGATACAGGGTAAAAAAAGGTGGGAGGAGAGAAAGAAATCCATGGTTCAATGTTCTGAACAATCCCTATAGTCACAGACAAACCCAAAGTCCAAAGATCACGCAACATGTACACACAGAGTGCAATCCTAAGCAAAGTCACACCCTTCTAAGCACAATGACTTCAGTGGACTTAGAAGAGAAACTCTGTTCAGGTCAGGATAGTTCATTGTTAAGAATCTATTGTTATTTGTACTAACCCTTGAGGAGGTACCTCCTTTCTTGTGGGACATACCACATGATTTCTTATCTGGCATTATTCCAAAATGGACCTCCATCTGAATACCTTGGCAACTTCCTGGCACACTGTCACTACAGAGCTGTAATCAGGGCACTTATTTGTGAAAACTAGGCCCTCTCTCAGAGAATGGCAGCAGACACGTGCCTTATTTCCTTAGCTCAAATATATTTTGCATGACCTTACATGAATTGCTTAGATAAAAGCCTTTTTTTCCCTTCTACTTTTGTTATTTTAAAGTGCAGATGCATTTGAGTCATTTTCCCCCTTTGTTTCATATCCTTAAGATCCGCAGCTTCAAAGACAGAATGTCAGCATGCAGTCGATTTATGACTGAACTCTTGAAGAGACACTGAAGAATTACCTTGTCAATCACCCCAAGGACTCTAAAGGCCTTCAGTTCCTCGGCAGGGCTCCTTAGGTTCCAAGAGGGCCTTGAACTTAGTGATCCTGGAGGCTAATGGAAGATATCAAAGATTACAACATCAATCAGGGTGGTACTTGAAGGAAGACTGCCTGCTGGAGCAAATGCCAGGCTGAAGGAAACTAAATTTATCATAAATCAGAGAGAGAGAAGATGAAAGAAGTTGGCTGTTTGTCCTTAATGCAAAAAAAATGAAAAATACAAAAAAAGAAGTTGATAGTAAATAAATCGCAGGGACACTGAAAGCAGAAATATAGCAAAAGGAATATTAATATCTAAGAAATATTTAGACAATTTCCCAGCTCTTTGTGCAGGCAGAGAAACTTGGGACCATTCCCGAACACCCCATCCATACCCATTGCTCAGGTTTTGAAGGAAGAAAAATTAAAAAAAAGAATGACAAAAAGTTTAAGGTTATAACAGGCAGAGTTCTGGACAGTTCCTTAGGTTACATATACCAAAAATCCTTATGAAAAGGGCAAAAAGAACAATGTGAACTTCAGAGTTACCTGACTTAAAACTATATATTGTAAAATCAAAAATGAATGGCACTGTAGATCGCTGGCTATAACTACATTTAGAAGGAAGTACATTCCATTCTTTAAAATGGAACTTGCTACCAACGAGCTATGCTTGGGTCATAATTCATTGTAAACGCAGGTAGAAGAGAACATGAATCCACCCTTTGATTATGGTAGGCATGCCCCTGAAGTAGGGAGTGGGGTTAATAACCACCACATTCAAGATCAAATATCCACATTTTATTAGACCTTATTACCAGTTTAAAATCAAATGGGAGAGGGAGAGTATAGAACAGGGGTGGCCAAACTGGCTTAACACAAGAGCCACATAGAATAAACATCAGATGTTTGAGAGCCGCAAGACATGAACAGATATTACATGTTTTTATTGGAAAACATGCAAATTTGCTTTTTATTAACATTAAATGAGACTGCCAAAAATAATAACAAAAGGGGTAAAAGCAGATACTGATAACGATATTTATTTCTCCAATGATATTTGTTTGCTAATGATATTTAGCTTCCCCAGCCGCCCTGCTGGGAGCCACACAATATGTGTGGAAGAGCCACATGCAGCTCCCGAGCCACAGTTTGGCCACCCCTAGATATAGAACAATACGCATGGAAGCAAAAAGAAAGCACAGCTAGCACTATGGTTTGTTATAGCAATGGGAAGCTCTAACATGTTCACAAATTCAAAAAGGCATCTTGTGGCACCTCAAATACTAACAAAATTTTACTCCAGCATCCTTGCCACTTTAGTCTGTAAGGTACCACAAAACCCCTGCATATTTTTGCTGTAACACACTAACACAGCTAGCCCTTGAAGTTAAAAATAGCACTGGATGATACACAAGATTCAAAACAAGTTAGGATACAATCTTCTCAGTTAATTTTTGCTCTTATCCGTTTTTTTTATTGGCAAATGTGGGAGAGAAGGTCCCTTCCGATCACTGAAAAGGCTATGCTTTGATTATGGGCCCATGTGGAGAAAAAGCTATGTGAGTTGCAGTGAACAGGGGAATTAGGCAGGATCAAGCAGAAAAGCTGGCAAAATGCAACCCAGCATATATGTTACATGCTTAGTGGTTTAATCTAAAGTTGAGCTAAATATTTTCACATGTTAATTTGCAAGACAGAAGGTGACAGAAGGGCAGAAATATTTTTTTAAAATCTTCAGTTTTGAGAACACTCACTTGCTTCAGGCCTGTTTGTGTTGCTGCTGTTTCCAGTTATTCACATGGGTCAACACAGCCAATCAGGGATCACACAGTGATTTTATGATGTCATGATTCTGAATAGCCAAATCTGGGTACATTACAGAATACTTTGCACAGAATCTTGCAAATGCCTTTGTGCCCCTAAAGTGCAAGGAGTTTGCCTAAAACAAATTCTCTGCAAGTGGGGGATTCACCTAACATGAGCATGGAAAGGAAAGTCGAGAGGGGGCTAAACCTATCCCCCATTTCAAAGGCTGTAGTCAGAAGCACAGGGAACAAGCTGAGAGCCCAACACTTTTACTGACGGCATTATACTCCTGTGGTGGCAAACTTACATAACTATACTTGGGGGCATTGCTACAAACTGTCTGCCCCAGAGGCTCACCTCTCACTAACAATGGCCTTTCAAGTGACTGTAATCGGTCTGTGTGAGAAGCTCACAGAGATGCATTGTACCCTTAATGTGTTTCATCACATTGAAGCCCTTCCCTTACAAGCAACCTCTCTACCGTAGCAACCATCTTTTTGCTATTAATAAGAATTGGAGGCCCCATAAGGACATAACTGCAAGAGACGGGGGAGGTTCAACTGGGAATTCTCTCACACTACACAGTAATATCAGACTGCTCAGATCTGGGTCTAAATGAAGAGTTTCCTGCTCACATAGTCCTCAGTCTCAGAAGTTTAGAATTTGTAGCACAACTGTCCTCTAGAACCAATGGCTCACCCAGGATCAGATCTGAGCAGTACAGTACATGAGGGGTATTTTTACTTTACCCTCCCCAAGTTACATGGGAAAATGAGGCATTTCCCAATCCCATTCTAAGCTATGGCTGTGCCACCTGGAGAGCTTAAGGAGTCGGGTGTGTGTGTGTGTGTGGAATTAATTAGGATCGGAGTAAATGCTCCCCCCCCACACACACACACATAAGTACGCTATGTATTGACCAGAAATTTATCAACCAGCAAACAGTCATCTTAGGGAAAATGGTCTTCTCTCGAAATCCTATCTGAGGACTACTGGGGAAGACATTTCTTTTCCATTTTTGTTCCACCTGAAAACTCAGAGAGTGAAAAAGTAATTGCTATTCAGTTACGAGGATTAATTTTTTCCCCTTTCCCAATTCACAGCAACTAGCTGCCTTCAACTATTCTTAGGGTTGTTCAAAGTAAGATGAAAGACTCATTTGCCCTTTTGTGTCCTTCTGTGATACAAATGTAGACAGACAGGAAGTTTGGAACTTTTAATGTTTGCTACATGAGAGCAGTCATCGACAATCACACACAGTTTCGTGTGATTGCAGCAAAAGACTTCTAAGCTAAGAACAGAAAGGTCCTCGGGGAATTTTTTGTTGGGGAAGGGCAAAGGAAAGATTTGTTAAAGGCTATCTTCAGCCTGAAATCCAAACACAAAAAATTCAAGTTTCATAAATGATTAACTGTGGGCCAAGCTAGACAGACATAAGGAGGTCTGTGATCTGACATCTACACTTTTTATAGAAAAAGTATCTGTGATCCTCTCATCATGGTAAGTATCCATGAGGTTGGGGTATGAGTCTAAATGGAAGTGCAGTGCTATGGAGACTTTTGATCCATATTTGTACATACTTGCTTAATTTGCAAAGTTCATTATGCTTTTGTTACTCATCAGCTGCTTGAATTTCCTATTGGGGAAGCACACAGAGATACACAGACAACCCCAGAAAGCTCTAACTACTTTGGGAACCTACCCCACAAATTGATCCATCTTCTGATGAGGGTCTACAATAAAGGCTGGAAATTTTTTCTGCTCTCATCAGATATTCTGAGGTCTTTCTCTTCACTGCTTCACGACGGGTTGGACTCGACTCCCCTAAATGGCATAAGAGAATATCGTTAAAAGTGATATTCAACCCTTTTCCCTTCTACGTGTATCATCGGTTAAGTCCGTGGCTTAGAAAATTCATTCCAGGGAATTCTGGGGTACACTGAAAGCTTATTAAGGATTCCTCAGTGGCAAACGTTCCTTGAATTTGCCCATCTAGCTACAGATCATTCCTTTCAATGTATACTCATTAGGAAAGTACAGGGCGGTGTGCAAATACACTAACAGTTCACATGGCATGATGGTGAGTCCCAATGAGCCTGACCAATCCTCTACACAAACTGATCACATGGCCCTAAAATATGGCCCTGAATCCCACAGAATACACAATAGTTCTGTTGGCAGAGAAGACTACAAAGAAAATGTTCCCTCTAACCAGACAGTGTGTGTAAATAAATGAATAAAGCCACTGCTGTAAAGATATTTTCACCCCACTTTTCCTAACATTCAGAGCAGTTTACAATATACTAAAAACAACCATCAAATAAACTTTATTATTAGCCATTCAATTCAATTAAACCTAAACAGAATGCATCTTTGCAATTTTAAAGTTATAAACAAAATATATGCAGTATATTAGGGTTGTCAAATCCAGCTTGCGAAATTCCTGGACATTTTTTCTTTGGGGGGGACACACAGTTTGGGGAGGTCAAGTAAGCTCAAGGGTGATGTGACGACATGCAATCCACTCTCCAGAGCTGCCATATCCTCCAGCGGAACTGATCTCTGAATTCTGAAGATCTGTGGTACTTCTGGGAGAACTCCAGGACCCACCTTAAGTTCAGTAAACTCTAACACAGTAACAATTTCGGGGGGGGGGAGCATAAAGGAACTAACCAACCCAGAGAAAAGCACAGCAAAGTCATGATTAGGAAAAAACACAACTAAAACTTAAACCAAAACAAAATCTATATCTCTTTCTATATCTATATCTAAAAAAATAAACTCTTCATCTGGTACCAAGGCATTAGACAAACCTGAAGGACAGAGAATAGAGACCAATTCCCAATGTTTTTACACACCTCAGAAGACAGAGGCACCTAGAGAATGGCCTCTCTGGGCAGATCTTGATGAAAAGTAACTTCATACCAGAAGAAGACAGTCAAAGGGGTACTTGGACATTAAAACATCAACACTCGCACTTTGAAATGTGACTAGTGCCCAGAGACAAACCGGGAATCAATATAAGTCATCACCAACAAACCCATGGTGATTCTCATATTTCGATAAAGCTAATGGCGTTTTATCATAACAGTAAAATGCTTTTTATGGGCTAGATTCAATTTTTCCAGAGACAGAATGGAACCTTCCAGCCTGCCTTCTCCCACTGATCTCTGCGAAAATGCTGCCCTGGGGGATAAGGGGTCCTGAGGAAAATAGATATCTATTCCCAGCCATTCAGATGTAAATAAGTACCACTCTTCCAGCATTCAAGGCAGTCTTAAGCAAAAGACAGACAGAGAGCCTGACTACTGATAACTATGACTTGTAACATCATCAGAACAAAGAAATGTCTCTCATTCTATTACCACATAAAAATCAACTACTACATGCAGACACAGACTTTTTAATGATTCCTACATTTTGAAACACATATATTAAGGGAGGAGCTGTGGAAGTAGAGCATCTGTTTTGTTTGTAGAGGATTCGATCCTTGGCGGGTCCAGTTGAGAAGGATCAGGGAGGAGGGAAAGCTGAAGACGTTTGCCTGAAACCCTGGGAAATCACTGCCAGTTAGAATAGCTAACACTGTCTCAGTATAAGACATATTCATGTACACTTTTATTTTCAGGCATTCACAAAAATCATCCAGGATTATCAAAATTCATCTCTAACCAAACTTTGGACATTTCCTTTTGACATTTCTTTCACATACACACACATACACATCACGCTGTAATAGCTTATTTAATAACATTTTCTAGTAGTATATTTGAATATTACTTTACAAAATACTTGCATTAAGAAGCCAAGGTTTATAATTCCTAAGTAAACTCCTCTATAATTCCTATAATTCAAGACAATCTGAACTGAAAAGAATGGGGGATCTATTGATAACTAGTGTTTGTGCTATAACTGAAACAAAGAAAATCCTCTTCCTCTACGTAAATATTTATTTTATTTATTAATTTGTTAAACTTTTATCCCGCCCTCCTGGCCAAGGCCGGCTCAGGGCGGCTAACAACAGATAAAATTCCAAATTACATACAACTTCAAAATACTATATTAAAACCAGATATAATAATAAAATGCTAATCTCATGCGTCGGTATTGCTGGTCTGCTTCAGATGCTGTAAAGTTCTTCAGATATCATAAATGGGGGAATCAGCTTGCGCAAGTTAATAGGGGTCCAGCATAGAAATACCACAGGCATAGAAATTGTTAATACTTCCCAAATTTTAAAATTTATAATTCCAACACATTGAGATCTTCAATAGGACATGTAAACCCTTGCAATGCCCCTAAATATACATCTTGAGATTTTCAAACTTGGAGAATTTTTTTAAAAAGAGAGGAATACAAGTGTTAACCACATTAAAGCACTTAATTATTCTCTATAGTAGATCATGCAAGGTCATTCTACTTCAAGAAAAATATTCATTTTCTATTTAGATGTTTTTCTAGATACCAGAAGATATTTATCTTTCATTTGATAAAGACCAAAACTTTTCATGTAAATCAGATTTTTTTAAAAAAAAAAAGAGCAATGTCATTTAAATGTTTAAAAACTACGCTCCTCTGAAGAAAGATATGAAAAGTGTGGTAATGCTGATGACAGACCTTCAAATAAAAACCCTTCGAGATTCCTCCTCTCTCTCTTTCTATCTCTCTCTCCCCATTTGCTATACAGCAGCTGTGCCTCGCACAAATTCACATGAATGAAAATATTTAGGCGAGAATCCACCCCCTTAGCTTGTTTTCCATATGACTTTCCTGTAATTATTTTGTAAACTGTTCGCACAACAATATATAAAAACATCTGCAAAAACAGGTAATTAATGTGTCAAGCTAAACTAATGCATTTTTATGGTGGCCATGCTTCGTCAACTGTAATTATAACTCTTTTTAAGCAAATGATGATGTGTTTGTTGCAATGTGAAAGTGCTTATTTTAGATGCTCTGTTCACCGTTACTGCAAACAGAATATTAAAAAAGGGGGGGAACAACAACTCTATAGCTAATACACTACAGGCTTCTATCCACATGGAACTGTTTGCCTCCTCCATTGCAGACAAACCTTATTCTGTTAAAGAAATAACAATTCTATTTGCATCTGAATTAATCAGGATTAAATGAACTCTCCTTCACCACAGAAGAGGAAAAATAATAAGCAGATAATGGTAGACCTCACTTTTCCTGTTTCCAAGAGCTGTCTGACAATCTTCTGCTTCAGTTACTGTTGCAGTGGACACACATCAAAGTCACGTGCAGGGCCGGCCCACCCATCAGGCAAACTAGACTTCTGCCTAGGGCGGCCAGGCCGCGGCCCATGGAGGTGGGCGCTGAAATGCCCTGCTGCCCTCTCCTCCGCCCCTGGGAGGGATGGGGCGGCCTGTGGTGAATGTCTCTTTTTTCTTTTGGGTTCCTGTGGGAGGTCCCGCCCCACCCCATCTCTCCCAGGGGAGAGGAGAGAGCGTGGCAGAGGCAGGGAAAGGGGCATGCCCCCTTCCCCCACCGCGCAATGGGGCTTTGCCAGCAGCCGTGCCGGGAGATAAAGTGGCTTTGCGGGGTGAGTCCCCGGCGGCGGCGCAGCCAATGGCCCAGGTGCGAAGGAAAGGACGGAGCGGGGCCCTGCCTGCCCTCTGAGCCACCGCGGCGTCCACGTCATGCGATGGAGGGCCGGGGCTCGGCGGTGCTGGGCTTGGGGCAACTTCTAGCTCCCTTCGGGGAGCGGCAGCTGCAAGAAGAGGCTGCCTCTCTCCTGTGCTGGCCGAGCAACAGCAGCAGGAGCTCGCCGCCGGAAGAGGCACTTTTGCAGGAGAGAAGGGAGGCGAGTGAGGCCGCTGTGGAGGAGGAGGACGACGATGCTGATGAGGAGGTGCTGCTGGAGCTGCCTGGCTTCTGGAGGCATGAGAGCAGCCCTCCCTCCCCCGATGTGGCGCCCCCCACACTGGACGTCCACACACACCACCAGACGTCCACACATCCCTCTTCTTCTTCTTCCTTAGGGCTGTTGTGCTGGGGCGGGGGGCACACCGGGGGGCACCACAAGACAGCCTCGCCTAGTGCACAAAAAAACCTTGGGCCAGCCCTGGTCACATGGCCCCCCACAGTGCAGGTCCATGGAGAGTTTAGGAGCCAGCTTATGTCCTTCATAATCTAGATGTTACTGCAATAGCAGATCCTAGTTGCCATGTAAATAGCAAAGCGGTTCTGACTGTTGGAACACAGAACCCTTGTAATCACCTTGAGAACCAAGTAAAGACCCCCAAGAGGAACAGTTGCCTGTTTTCTCCTAATGTGAGGAGACTATTTAGTGAATCCCTTTTCTGCCATTTAGACATCCCTTTCTGCCACCTTAGGGCAAACGTTACGCACCGTCAAAGCTGCTCTCACAGGTCAGAGTGCAGGCCTGCAAGCCTGCATGCATCTACTAATCAATAAATCCCTTAACAAGTGGTAGAATTCTACATAAAATACTTAACCCACCCCTCATTTGGAAACCTAACAATGCATTCAGATCTCTATTTATGACAACTATAAAGTGTTGTATAGTTCAAAAATCTAGTAGTAATTTCCTACATTAATTTTCCAACTGAAGCATTACTAAAAGCTGGCCCCAAACAATCTTATGATCAAAATAAATGTGAGAGCTCTATGATAAGGATCTCTTGTGTTTTTTGGAAAGCTAATTAGCAGGCCAGCACTGAAGATGGGGAAAGGGGCTGTGTGGGGCTGCTGGTTGTCTGTTTAAAAATTGAGAGATGCCATGAATCTCTCTTTTCAATTTGTTTTGGCCCTTAGGGATGTTAAATGAACAGGAAATC